TGCTCTCCTGCTACCTCTCCTGGCAGCTGAATGGAAGAGCACACAGTTGAAACAAGGACTCGGTAATTCTACCTCAGCGTTAAGGCAAAAATAGTCATTGTAAACCCATTTCATACAGAAGAAACTGAAAAGAAGTTAGCTTTGTGTAGGTAAGAGAGGAAAGCAGACCACAAGCCTTTAATATGATGCCAACGCTTGTTTCCCTGTCCTCTCATTGAGTTTCAGAGTATCACAGCCTTACACTGCAATCCAACCAGACAACTTCACAAAGTAGGGAAACAAGGGAGAAGAGTTGCTGCCCTTCAATCTGTATTTGCTGGAGTAAGGGGATACTAAAAGCCCTTCCATTACACTTTATCTCAGCTCCCTGCTGCAGTGGAGTAGGTTAAAGCACCTATTGTGCTCTCAGGGGCAGTGCTTTGAGCTTCTTCCCAGAGCCTTGACCCTGGCACAAAGATTTAGGGAACTTTAAAGTGCAAACACGGGACTGCAGAGTCAGTACTGTATCAACAGCAGGAAACACAGAGAGTTCCTGCTAAAGCCCCTTTTTGGCTGCAGGCCATATCACTGGCCAGCCCATATGGGAATGTCCGGTTACATGACTTGCTTATGGACGGGTCAGCTCAAATCCAGCATGACAAAATTTCATCCTCCTTCAATCCTTCGTCCCTCTGTTGCTTGTCAGGAATTCTGTTGCATCAGGATTAATAATTTCAAGTAAATAACCTAATTTCTTTGGAAATCTCTGGGTTAGCTACCATGAAAAGCAGAGATAGGTGGCCTGAGAAATTAGTAACCATCTGGGACAACTTTCTGTAAAGCAATTTCAGCCATGTGATGAGGATTTTAGGAATGGGCTGCAAATACTCCTGGACCTCCATTAACTCCAATTAAGCCATCTTATCAGCAGAGTTTAGCCCATGTACATTTCCACATTAACACAAGTTATGTAGCTGCCCATAGCACTCAGACTATCTCTGTGCCACAGAGATGATTTCAGCAGCAGTCTTGTTTTTGAGCATCCTTGCTAGTAATAAGGAGCCCAGTCTCTGTTTGACAGGTTGAATATGGCACTCAACAGTAATCATGCATTTTTTAAAGGTTTTTTGTATCTTTTACTGGGAATACAGTGTCTACTCCCTCATCAGATCTTACTCTCAGAGGAAAAAAAAAAAAGAATAAGGGGGCTTCATAAACCATAAAGACTTTTATTTTGTCATTTAAAGCCTACATGATACAAAAAGTAAAGTTTAATACTGAGTGCCACAGTCTGTGTGGTAAGAGGGAGGTTACCTGCACCTTGCCAATGACTGGGTGCATCCCTTGCAGTGTCATATCCCTGATCCACTAGGCAACACTGCAGTTGTCTCCCACCAGTGTCAGGATGTCAGATTCAACAATTAGGCCTGGCACTCATGTTCTCCCTTCAGGACTCTATGGCTCAGGATATAGAATGACATTTTTTAAAATAATACTTCTGTTATTTTAAAAATAAAAATATATTACTCACATAACTAAATAAACAAACAAACAAATCCCTTCAACCAAACCTTTACAGAACCAAAAATCATCATATCTCAGCAATGAACATCATAAAATTAACCTAAGCAAGACTAAGTTTTTAACTAAGGTGTCTGTCACTTACTTGGTTCCCTCATATCACTTCTTGAGCAAATGCCCCTTCTGTCTAAGGCAATAAATAGTTTAGAAATTCAATGGATTACTTTTTTCTTCTTTCCTTTTCCTGACTCATGAGCCTGCTGATGTTCATTATTGCCTCTTAACAAGCTTTAAATGTTGGTGGAGAGAGATTTTGCTCCTTTTGGTAGTGGTAGCATATCTACCCATTTATTAAACACCTCAATAGCTGTAAAATACATGATAACTATAAATTAGTACGAAGTAACTCCACACCATGATGTCTGATAATGCCCAGAATCTTGACTTAAAGCCATTGTAGAATACTAGGCAGTGTCCTCACTATTTTCTTTTGGTAGGACCGAGACAGCAACAGTGTTAATACAAATAACATGAAAACAATTGCAAACAAAGGAATCTCACTTGAAACCAGCTGTACTATTTTTGTGGAAACAGAAATAATCTGTGCAGTTACATATGAGTCTTACCAATTAGATGTCCCTAAATATACTTGTTTGTGACAGTAAAAGCCCAAACATCATCCAAGGGCACACACAGTATGTTCCCTCCTCAAGGGCAAAACATAACTTGCATTGAATGTAACCTACCTGAGCTTCATTTGTGCATCTAGTCCTCAGAAGTAGAAGACATGAGCCCTCATGCACATACATAATTTAAGCCACTATCTTTCAACCTCTTGGATTTATCCATTTCTTGAACTTCTAAGTAATAGTGAAAATTTTAGTTTATGTGACCTGAAGAAATTTCACATATTGAACTTTGGATATAGTACATGGGAGTCTGCTTGATTTTAACAAATTCTTTAGAATTCAGAAACCCTCCCCATTGAACTTTTGAGGCTGAAAAATGCCGATTTAGCAAATTCTTTATCCACTTGTTGGTTCACAGTGCCTTTCTTTCCAGTTCTTTCCAGTTCCATTCAGTTTTTACTTCTGAACTTAATTAAGAATGCTCCCAATTATTCAAAAAGTTTTGTTTTACTGTGCTTTGTTTAGCTAATCTAACTGAAAGAGATATTATTTAGGTAGAGTCAAGAAGAAAGTATTGAAAAATATAGCTTGCATAAAAATGCATCAAAATGAAAACTTTCAGCTCTGAAGCAGCCTCTGTAGTTCTTCTGTTTTGTTTCAGAAAACATTCCCAAAGCTTTACAAGATTTCTAAAGATCTCCTACTAGGCATGAATCATTAATCTTTAATATTAAAGCTGCTACAACTGAACTTCTAGTCTTCTAACAACTTTTGAGTGTTTCTGTTTTGGAAGAAAGAATAATCTTGTAGTAAAGGCACTGTAAGAAGAAGAAAAAGCTCCTAAGTCAGTTACCAGTATCATCATCAACTTTTTGTATGATCTTTGACAACCCAGACTTTTTTCTGTTTATTACATTAAATATTAAAAATAGGAATAGCAACATTTCTGAGTGATGTTGTAGGAGAAGGCATAATGAGTACAAGATGCCTGTACAGGAGCCATGAGCTGAAAACACCCCATGCTATTTACCAAGGACTATCTAAGTCTCTGTAGGCATAACATAGCTAAAGGCTTCAAATAAAACTTTGTGTGACAGACTATTTGGAATAGTTTCACCTAGGACAGAGTTCATGTGGGGAACAGTAGAAAAGAAGGAAAACTTGATCCTGTAAATAATGGGTTTGAGAGAGAAAAAACCTAACATGTAATATACATCCAGAAATCAGCAAAAGGAGTTACCTAAAGCATATTGGAGATGGCCTTTCTGTTGCTGGCAATGAAGAACAGGGTGTGGTACAAGCCATGCAAACCCTCCTGGGGTCCTTGTGTACAGAACATTGCTGAATTGTGCAAAATGACACCTTTACTGCCCTTGGGACTGGAATTAGAGAGCCAGGGATAGCACTGCTAAACCTGCCTATGCTGCCATCCCTCCTGCAAGGAGAGTGCGTCTCTGCCTACATCACGGTTGATCTCTGGCCTAACTTCAGATGTCTACAAGTCAAGGATGCTATCTATCACAACCATCTCAGGAAGCCTGAATGAACCGCCCTTTGGAGATTCCAAGTTGAATAGTTGTGTGATACAGTCCAAAGCTTTACTGGTATATTTACTCCTCAGTTTGTTTGTGCCTTTATTCCAAACATATTATCTGCAAAAGGACATCTCTGAGAAGAGGAAGGAGTTGTCCCAAGTTTCCCACAGGAAACTCAAATGTCCTTCTAGGTTTCATCACTAGATTTTCATAAATTTTTCAAAACTCCCCTTCAGAAATGTGATGGAATTTTTATTTGGTCTGTAAGTTTTCTATTCAAACTTGAAAATTTCCATTTATATATATGTAACCAGATGCTGTACATAGGTTTACCTGCCCCAGGAGCCATATATGCATACATGAACTATCACTCTGTTTTGAAGAATGCTCAGCATGATGGGACAGTCTTCCTGATCAGTCATTCCTAGACACTAACAAGATGTGGGTGGCTGGAGTTGGGAGGAGTAAAGAACTGCACTGCTTATTTGCTACAGTTAAGTGAGCTCTTCTAATTTAACTTCTGCTTTCAAAAAAAAATAAATAATGAATAATAAAAAAAAATTGTATTGTGTTCCCATTTCAATAAAAGACAAATATTAAGATTAAATATAACCTAAAGAATAATAACTTTTGCTTAGTGGTCAAACTGCTTAAGTCTGCCTAAATAAAGGAATCAGTTTTAAAGCCTCTGCAAACACTAGGTTTAAATTATTTTCAAGACCTATAAAGAGACAACAGAAAGCATAAACAGCTTGAATTGTTTAAAACGTGTGTTCCCTCTAATTAAATAAGAAACATCTGTCTTGGGATTTTGAAAGTGGATATAATCTATCCACATTGTGCCTAAATCGGTTTGCATCTAGCTTCAGTATTCTGAAACAAAATTCTTGCTTTCTGAATAGAATTAAATAAGCATGACACACGCGGCACTTCATCCATCTGAACAGCCAGAAATCCCCTCGTTGAAAATAACAGGAAAGACTAGAAACTCTGTTATTTCCATGCTTCAGGAAAGTGTGAGACAAGGCTTTTGGGGCTTTGCCTTCTGAGCATGCAAAAGCATTTTCAAAATCAGGAATCTGCCACAAATACGTTTCATTAAAGAAAAAGAAGAAGAAGGCAGTTATTAAGATGAATTACTGATCCTGGAGGTCACAATCCTGCTATTTCTCTAGGGACCATTAAACCCTTCCCAGCAAGAGCACATGCATTCAGAGTCCCAGGAGCGGGATTTCTATTCCAGAGCAGATTCTCGGATCAAAGCGACCCAAGTACAGGGATGGCGGAGGAGCCGAGGGGGACCCGGGCGCGGCGGTGCGGGACAGCCGGCACTTACTGGTGTTGTCGAAGGGGATCTGCCTGCACCGGGCGGCGGGCCAGGCGCAGTAATACACCGCTCCTCCTTCCACGATATCTGGCTGTGTGGTGTTGGCTTTGGGAGCTCCCACCAGGACGCTGACCCTGCGAAACACACCGGGAGGTCACCGGGGCGATCGGCACAGGCGAGCGATGGGCGCTGTCACCCCGCGGGCGCGACGCCGCCGTTCGCCCGCCGCCTTCCCAAAGCGCTCCCCGGGCCCGGGGGCGGCCCGGG